CATATCAGAGGGATGCCTGGAAGGTGAGCAAACACAGAGGGAAAGTGGTGACTTCCTGGAAGCTTCCCCATGCAGAGCAGGTGGGCAACAGCTAAAGGGGAAGGTCCAACATTGAAGAGGAGGCTCAATTTCAAATGCTGAGGAAGGACCAGAAGTGGAACGCTCATACGCTGGAGCGGTTGAAGGGGAATGCAGAGTTCACAGCCCTTGCTGGCACTAATGTGGACCGGTTTGGATGCTCATCTGTCCCTAACAGGCTGTTAGGGTTACTGTTTTAGAGTGACTTGGTTGTCACTGACGGAGCTCATGTGGCAGTGGGAGTGTGAACAGGTACAGCAGAGCCGAAGGTCTGCTGATGGAAAGCTCTGAAAGCCCTCGCCTCCTGGGGCCGTTGCAGTACTAGGTTATCCCTGAACAGCAGGTCACTCAACTGCTTTTTCTAGATTAAATGAAATGGGCAAATATGTCCTGACTGAAATAGGGATGGGAGGCTCTGAGCCTGCTTTTTGCCTCCTTCCTCCCATAGTGTTTTCCAGATCCAGGCTCCTGGACAAGTTGGAGAATCTCCATCTGGGCCTAAGGTCTTACACTGCTGCAAATCCCCACATCAGGAAACAGCCATGGCCTCCCTCAGGATAGGATATTCACTGGTCAAATTTCCAGGATGCCAGAGGGCAGACATTGGACAGAGCCTGAGCCCTGTGTCAGTCTAAGGTTACAGAGTGGCCAAACTCCTGTCATCACAGCTAAGTCACGGCAGTGCAAGACAATTCCAAGGGGACGTGATTACTGTTTGTCTCCAGCCCTCTAATCTGAGGTCTTCCCTTGTTTTTCCCAGGTTTCCTTAAAGTTGCCCTGCTTGCACGCATGGGCATCATTCCAAGTAAAATGCCCCAAGAGGAAAGAACAAGAAGCCAGGCAGTCCCTCTTGGGTCCTGAAGCTGGAGCTGGGGCAGCTGGGAGCAGCACCAGGTTGTAGGAGTCACCCCACTCTCCCCTCTCTCCCCACTCTCCCCTCTCACCAAACAGCACAGCAAGAGGAATGAGTCAAGCTTTTCAGCAAAGAAAACACCATGATCACCTGGTAGATCATGATCACTGTTGTGCCAGAGGTAAGCTCTTGTCATTCCTTCCTGAGCAACGACAGGCAGCCGATGCTTGGGAAGATAACAGAATTCAAGAGCGATTGAAGACAGGAGGAAACAGGTACTCTCAGAAGTGACCCTGAAGCAGAGATCCCCTCACCCTTTTCTCTAGCACATAACCGTGTCTTGAGCTTGTCCTCTTGGTGCTAGCTTTGAAAGGGGCAATCCAAAGGGAAGCACTCGTCTCTGGTGGTGTTTGGTGGTCCAGCAGGAAGGTCTGAAACCTGTGCCTGTGTTTACTCAAAGAGGCTTCCGCTAAATCTCTCTGGTTAAATTTCCCCTGGAAAGTGGGGAGTTACAGGCATAGCAATGAGAGGCAGTGCCCAGAAACACAGGCCAGGGAAGCTCACCTGCTCCCATCCAAGAGTTTGGGAAGAGGCTTCCTCTGAACCCATGTTCTTAGCTGAGACTGTCATCAGTTACCTGGAGAACTCACTAAGCCCTCTGCTGATGAGCCTCAGAGGGTCTGGGCTGGCTCCCTAATGAGCCCCCAGGGATGCCGTCAGCATGCACTAGGCTGGGGCCCCACACCTGAGACCTACTGCTCATCACAGACACTGGCACCCAAACCAAATTCCATTATAATAGCCATCTTTATTTGTAAAAATCCAGATATAAAATGTATTCTTTCAGTCTTTCCAGATTTTCCTTTTTTACAAAAACAAAAAGGCACATAAAAACCTTCCCCTGCTGTCATTCCCATAGATGGATGTTTTCAGGCAGCCCCCCCACCCACCCCCAGTTATAGCTACATGCTTCATTCCAGGACATCTGGCTTCCCCCACATGCTCTGGCGCTTTCCTACCAGGGTAGAGTTCTGAACTCCGAGACTGAAGTACACAAAGGGGGGGTGGGGGCGGATGCAGAGTGTGTGGCATGATGCTCGGCGGCGTGCAGGGCAGGAGACTAGTAGTAGGTTTCCTTCTCCACCCAGCCTGTAGGTGGAAAGAGAAAGAAAAGACAGGATGAGGACCCAGCTGATGATGGTGGGTGGGTAGGGTATACAGTCAAATTCAGTATGGGACCTCTCAACTGTTGCTACATAATTCTTGTTAGGACTACTGTTACCTGGAAAGATGGTTTAGGTTTCTGGCAAGGTTGTCACTACATTATATTCAATTTGTACTTTAAAATGTAACATAAGTTGATTGACTCCCACACATGGCTGAAGATATGACTATTCAGTGGGCCTTAGGGATCGGACTGACCACTAAGGGAGCTCAGAACCACCAGAGTCAGGAGACCCACAGTCCCACCAGCTCCCCGTCCAACCAGAGTTAAAATGCTAGAATTACCGCCTGAGGGGCTGGAGATTTAGCTCAGCGGCATAAGCGCCTGCCTTGCGAGCAGGCAGTCGTGAGTTCGATCCCCGGTACCGATAAAAAAGGAAAAAGACAAAAAAAAAAAAGAATTACCGCCTGGGCGCCGCCTGATGATGAGCTTCCTGACTTCGTCATACACGAAGATGAGCAGAGAATAGGGGAAGGCACAGAACCACCAGGTAGGCCTGCAGGGAGAATCAGGAAGCAATTTATAGACACGTGAACACAATTCAAAGGAAGAAAGAAAACCCTCACATCACAGAATTGTGGTAAGGCAGCAGTCAGGTCCAGGGCAGTCACTGCTCTCCGAGCTACTAACAGGACAGATCAAATCACCTAATGGCAAGTTGCTGCCGTGCGCCAGGGCCTGGAGACACAGTGGCCTGCACACTCTACAAGGGGAGCTCTGGCTGTCAGCGGTGAGTTGAGAACATTTGCTGCTGACAAGAACGGACGACTGGATGTTTTCTTTCTTCCCTTTCTAAAGTACTTAAGAAGCTGCATGTTTTCTTTCTTCCCTTTCTAAAGTACTTAAGAAGCTGCTGAGCGCATTTCTCTCAAGTCTTGGTACTTGAAGACAAAGAACTGTGGGTCAAAATCAATTTATGCACCTAAATTTGGTCTCTGAAAGGTAATTTGGGACACTCAATTGCACGTTCTGACTCCCTGATCTGCAGGACAGAAAAAAACCTGAGCCAGAGGACAGAGGTCTTCGTGGGTCGTAGGAAGCTGCTGCCTCTCAGTTCCCAGCCTCGAAGGCTCTGGTAGTCTCTCTTCTTTCCAAGCATCCTCTATAACAGGGAAAAGGTTGCCTCATTTAACTCAGAAACCAGAGGAACCAAACCACCTTCCAAAGCTGAGTAAAACCTGTCAGGAACAAGTTCTCTAGTGGCCACAACAAATTGATGTGCCCAGAGAATGGCAACGTCCTTAGACACTACCCCCTTTTAGGGGAATTTTTCACTCAGACTTTTAGCTGTTCTTTCCCAGCCTCTCTCTCCCTAAAAAATGGGCAAAGTCAATAGACTTCAACTTGGCACATCTTGCCTGTGATGTACGCCAGCTCTGTCCAAGGTATTGGGAAAACAAGGCATTGTGACCCAAGCCTTAACAATTACAATCTAGTGGGGAATAAAAAACAACCACCTCAAAGAAGAGATGGAACCACCCAGGACCAAGAGGACAAGGTCACACAGGAACGCACTGCACTCCAAGATCTGCACCGACGGACGATGAGGATACAAAGAGAGGGAGGAGTCCAGGGAAAGGAAGGGAGCATGCTTACCAAGCACACAGGCAGAGGGGAGAACACTGAACTCATCACAGGGTTGGGTGGGGTAAAAGACAGGCTAGGACAACAGTGAGACAGACCCTAGATACGTCTCACTGCACCACAGCTATCTACACAAACCCACAGGGAAGGAAAGAGGTCAACCGGTTTTGCTTAGTTTAAGGTTGCGATCAATAAGCAGATGCACTGGTTAACAGGTCAGTTGATGGTCCAAATAGATCTGAGCAAGGATAGAGGCAAAAGACTACTGAAAGTCTCAGGCTTTGAACTTGTCATGTGGGTCCCATGTTCCATGGCTTAGCGTATTTTAACCAGGTGATCGCTTCTTTGACCTCAATCAGTTTCTAGATATCACCAAACACTTACGTTTCATACAGACACAGAGCTATAGTGATCCCTGTCTATGAAAATTCAGGTTTAACGGAGTGCACAGTCACTGGCTGTATGTAAGACCACTCTGGATCTGAGTAGACTAGTGGTTTTTTCTATCCAAAGTACAGTAAAAGAGGCCTCAGATTTGCTTCTCCAACCTTCTTGTGGGAACAGAGTATTTAGAGCCTCGGAAAGGTGAGGACTGTGATAGGGTAGTGACTATAATAAGTAAATCAAGATTTTGAGCTTTAGTCCCTAAACACCAAGACAGCCCCAGATGGCCTCTAAATATGGCTGGACCATGGCTAGAGGACTTGAGGCCTCAATCTGGTGAACTGGTGAGCAGTTCCAAGGAGCTAAACACTTATGTGGGCTCCACCGGGCCCAAATTCCAAGTGTGAGCAGTAGTCACACTAGTCTGATTTATGGACAAGGACAAGGTTTCCTAACTCTGTAATCCACAGGACTGTGTACATGACACTCAAAATTCTGAATCTGTATTCCTGAACATCAGGAGGGGAAAGAGCAACATATCCTACTGTACTTCCATACCTCTTCTCTTTACTTACTTGAGGGGATACATCCGAAGGGCAACACCCATTCCAGGACAGTAGGAAAGGAAAGCAGCAAGGGCGGTCTCTTCAAAGAGGCCAAATATTAAGATCTTGTTCCTAAAAGTCAAGAGAGAAAAATCTTCAAAGGTGCAAACACAATTTTATCTTCTAATGCTACGTGTTAAATGGCAGATCAATGCCTTCTTGGGCTTTCAGCAAAGGATTTACAAAGCTCCTTTTGAGTCAGCGCCCTTGGCATGACCTTCATCACTCACTTCATCCCCTGCTGGAAGACTGAATTCCTCCTGGTCTTACAGATGATCAAGTCAGCCCACTGCACCACCACAATACTGACGAAGAAGGCTGTGTGGCAGGTGAACTCCACGATTTTCCTCTGCTCGTAGGTCTGTAATGCAAAGATACACACATAAACCTCAGCTCTTCAGGCTCACGGCGAACGGCACTGTGGCCAATCTCCTGGCACTTCAGGACCAGAGCCTTAGTCAGCCAAGAAGCCCTCACTCACCCATTGCTGCCCGTAGCTGTCTTCCATATCATTGATCCAGCGGTCATCCCAGTCCACACGGAGGCCCAACAGGTGAATTGGAAGGAAGCCATTCTCAGCCAGAATCACAAAGTAAGTGAAGAAGCCCCCCAGGGCCTGGATCATACCTAAGACATTGGAAAAGCCACCTCAATACTACAATCTCATGCAAGGCCATCTCCACAGCCTCATCTAATCACTGTAACAGCTAGAGTGAGGGTGGTCTTTATCACTGGTTGGGGAAGGCACAGGGCAAATACCTGGTCATTTATGGACTTGGGAGAGTTCAGACAGAAGATCCTGGGTGCATTCTGAACTCAACGTCCCTTCTACTTTAGAATCACTTTTTCTTTTTGGTGAAAGGATTGAACTTACAGCCTCCTGCTTGCTAGGCATGCGCATGTGAGCTTCTGAGCTAAACCCCTGGCCCTTAGAATTACTTTTTACAGCTTAAAAAAAAATGACACATAGGCCTTGTTTGAAAAACCCCCACTTCTCTTAACATATGCTTCTAACAAAGTATAACCCTCAGAGAAAACCAGCTTCCTCTTCCACCATTCAAAATGTTTACGCATTATCATTTTATCATCTGTTGTGGCACCTTCTAACCCAACACTTTTCCCTGCACTATCAAGACTTTTTTCCCATCATTCAACCCAATGATAGCACCCTAACTTTCTCAGGACAGGATCTTAGCCTATGCATCTTGAGGCCTGGCCATCTCATGTCAAACTTAGATTCTCCCAGAGGAGGTCAGCATAGGCCACCAGCCTGTTGCTCAGTGGGCATAATTTCCACGAGGTGCTAAACTGGTCTACTTCACTCAGTTTGTTCTATTAATACAACACAAGGGCAGAAATCAGTGCTTACAGTGGCTTCCCTCCTTCCCCTGAAGGAGGTCAGGCAAAGGATTTAAGGATGAAATTTTGACTCCTTTCTAGACTTCCTATTAGCCAGGCACACTCAACTTTCAGAGCAGACATCAAACATGAGATGGGAGTGTAGCACAAGACCATCATTTGGTGTGATCTACTGACCCAACAGTCAAATCCACAAATTTCTTCAGGGTTTAATTCTCCAATCAAATTAGTGACAGTGTGTACATGCCAAGGTGAGCCACCTTTGATGAACTAATAAACAAAGCTCCTTAGCTCTATGCTCGGGACTTTGCAGAGGTGAGGAACAGAAGTTCCTCAGGCAAAGCTGAGTCCAGTCATAGGGTGATCATACTAAAGTAGTATAGTACCAAAAACAGATCATGGTACACGGAAGGTAATTTTTCCACAGTGCATTTGAAGTCTCAGAAACCCATGCAATCAAGGCAGACATAGCACTATAGATCCTCTAAATGTGCCAGCTCATGGCCCACATGGTGGCTTACCAATCTGTCCATAGGCCATGCTGATCAACCGCTCATTCACGAGCTTGTCAGTTTTGGGGTTTCTGGGTTGTCTCTTCATGATGTCACTCTCAGCTTGCTCATATGCCAGTGAGATGGCAGGGACCTGTGGAGAGAACAGACTTTAAAAGTAAAACAAACAACATGGCATCATGGATGTTCAAAATTCTTGCCCTCTTTTTAAAAAATCTGTTTTTTATTTCATGAGACAATACTATAGTCCCACCTCCCCCCTTAAAGCCAAATTACAAAAGGGAAGAGAATTCTTCACAACACCAGCCCCAGCCTCAGGGGAGGGAACAAGGTGTGAGTGCTGCTGTCCACTTACCATGTCAGTACCTAAATCAATGCAGAGGATTGTGACGGTCCCCAGTGGTAGTGGAATGTTTGCAATAATAAATATCAGGAAGGGGGTGATCTCTGGAATGTTACTAGTTAGGGTATAGGCAATGGATTTCTTCAAGTTATCAAAGATCAGACGACCTAGGAAAACAAGAATTATTATTGGTACTTCTTAAGGAGTAGAAACTGAACATATCCAGGGGGTACAGAAGTGGATGCTGACTGCAGTTATCTGGACAAGTTTTTAATGGACATTTCAAATCCCATTCTCACCTTCTTCTACTCCAGTCACAATTGAGGCAAAGTTGTCATCCAAAAGAATCATGTCAGCAGCTTGTTTAGACACATCAGAGCCAGCAATCCCCATAGCAACCCCAATGTCTGCTTTCTTCAAAGCTGGAGAGTCATTGACACCATCACCAGTCACGGCTACAATAGCACCCTATCCAGAAAATCAAAGGGAGATGGGTTAATAAAACCCGTTACTTCAAGAGATGGAAATAAAGAGACATGTGCCTCCAATGGGCATGGCCATGGGAGTTGCTCTTGCCCAGGGAGTCTAGATGGAGTTTCAGGGGCATTTCAGCTAAAGTTCTCCACCAAATGGCAGAAGAAGACAACAAATGTCTTCCCACAAATATTAATGGGGGTCACTTAGAACAATGACGGTGGTTGAGTGGCATTCTGGGAAATCCTGTTCTTCTATGTACACCCTCCTTCTCAAGGTGGGACAGAAACTCCCAGCCATCCTCATCTCCCCTACAGACACTGTGATCCCATACTGTTATTCCACACCCCTAACCTGAGGTGCGGGCTCTCGGCCACCCTAGGGACCTATACTGTCAAGTGCTTCTGAGACACTGAACAACAAGTCACCCTCCTTCCTGTGTCCCCTCCTAACAAACACACTGAGGGTGATGAAGCTGCGTAGGCTTCCACTGCTGCTTCACGTTCACTGGAGCCCCAGGCACAAAGGCCACCAGTGCCCAGGCAGCCCAGTCTCCACTCACTGACCTGTCTCTGGCAGCCTTCCACAATGATAAGCTTCTGCTGAGGGGATGTTCTGGCAAACACAATCTCAGTGTGGTGCTTCAAAATGTCATCCAGTTGCTCTGAGGTCATGTCCTTCAGATCACTGCCGTGTAAGACACAGGCCTTGGCATCTCTAGAATTAGGACCAAAAACATAGTAAGGTTATCACTTCACCAGCGTGATCACCTAGACAGATGACAGACCGCAAACATGTTCTAAACAGAACACAGAGAAGCAAGTTTCCTCCTATCTGAGAGCTATTTTCTGTGTAGTGCTTTACATGCTACAAGGCATTTTCACATAGGTTATTGTGTTCAAGGCTCACAACTACCTGTGGGATAGGCCTGTTATCTTCCTTTCTCCAGCTTTGCCAGACACATTAAAACACTATGAGCAAATTTTAGAAAGTAGCAGAGCTGATGAAAAACCAAACCTCCCTTTCTCCCAAGTAGAGTGAAGTGGCCCTAAAACTTAACAAAAGAAATATAAAACTTCTTGGGACCAGAGATTTAGCTCAGCGGCATAAGCCTCTGCCTGGCAAGTGCTAGGTCATGAGTTCGATCCCTGGTACCAAAAAACAAAACAAAATGAACAAACAAACAAAAAAACTCCTTTTAATTTTAATATATTGCCAATTTTCCCCTTTTTGGCATGAACTGTTTAGCTAACTGTCCATTTTTTATTTGATTTGATTATCATCAAGGTATTAAGTGCTAGGCAGCAGAGTGGTTATCAGCATAAAACTGGTAGAGAACTTAGATGAAGGAATTTATCACATGACGTTACTAGTTCGGAGGGTCTGAACTTCCTGCCTTACCTCGGGTTCACCTGGCTCACTGGGATGTTGAGGCGGGCAGCAATGTCTTCTACAGTCTCATTGCCCTCTGAGATGATGCCCACACCTTTGGCAATGGCTTTCGCTGTGATTGGATGGTCGCCCGTGACCATGATGACCTGAAAAAACAGGATCATTTACTGAATGTGACTTCCAAGTGGAAAACGGAAAAGTTTTACTCCAGGTGAGTAGATAAGAGTAAACATAGTATTAAAGGTCCATTAGCTTGAAATACCAAAAGAAAAAAATGCAAATATAGAGCCAAGAAAGTATTCATTTGCAATTACAAAAAATGTAAAACAAACGAATTCCCAGAAAAGAAACACAAAGTCAATATTTAGATTTATCTTGGCACATGGGCATATCACACTGCATACGCAACATCTATTTTTGTATTTACAGTCACATAAGAATACTCAACTTTACTAAGATTAGCAAAAGAATAAAACAAAAAACAGACACAAACCTAATGCTGGTGAGACTGTAAAGAAGCAAGAGATTGCTAGTTAACATTTTCAAACTGGCCCAATTCTGAGAAACAGTAACATATAACAAGAACGCAAAGCCAGGGAGGCAGCTGGGCGCTACCTTAATTCCAGCGCTTCGACATTTGCCCACGGCATCAGGAACGGCCGCTCGAGGGGGGTCGATCATGGAGATGAGTCCAACAAAGCAGAGGTTATCCAGGGGGAAATTCACTTCATCAGTGTCAAACTGGAACCCTTCGGGAAACTGTTCATCTGGCAGAAGAAGGTGGCAGAAACCTGCAGGGAAGGTAGAGGGCCTGTGAGAATTTCCAGTACTTCAGAGTACAAAGTCCACGACAGGTCTATTGTAGTCCTTGAGGCCCATCTTCTGCTGGATATTTACCTCAGGTTTTTCTTTTCTGTATTAAGGATCTGAACCCAGAGGTGCTCTACCACTGACTTATACTGGTCAGTCAAATCAACCACCTTCTTTTTTCAGATTTTATTTGGAGCTAGGATCTTACCAAGTGGCCAGTCTGGCCTCTAACTTGTGATTCTCCTGCCTTGGCCTTGGGTAACTGGGATCACAGGCACGTGCTATAGCACCTGACAGTTTACAGTATTTCTTAAAATCTAGTTTGGTAACATAATGAATATTTTAACACTCAGAAATACAGTATTAGCGAGAAAGAAAAAAAAAGAAAGAAAATCCAGAAACAATCCTCTACCAAGGAATAGGGATATTTAATGTGGAAAAGACTGGCATGGTAATTTTGAGCAACAGCACATCAGGATTTTAAGAGCTACCACTGATACAGTAAGCTATTTAGATTTAGCGAAGCACTTAAATATCAGTGCTGGCTACTCTTGCTGGAAAAACGGAGGCCATATCTGCTCATCTAATTGAAATACATTATACTGAGCACAGGCTGGGGAGTCACGCTGGCCACTCTGAAAGACCGGTCTCTCAGACACGTGAGGCAGACACCATGCTTATGTGGGCAGGGATGTGAATGAGGAGAGACCAGACAATCAGTTCTAAGGTATCCAGCCTAAGGAGAATAAGAGCTCCATACGTAATGAGTTTGCATCTGATTACCTACAAAATATTCTAAATACCACTTAACAAATACATTGGATAGTGGGTAAACTTTTAAGCCTCAATAGCTATTAGATTAGAAAGGATAACACCTAGCCTAAACACTCACTGCTAATCTAGTCTGTTCCCATGGCAATGTGCAACCATTTTAAGGTGGCATGGCCACAGCAACAGGCTAAGATGATAAGCATCTCTTTCCTCATATTAAAAAAGACAAACATTAAGGCCACAGGTCTAAGGATGAGCAACCCACCGGACTGTTTCCCACAGCCCAATACACTGGCCTTTGCTCCAGCGCTTGCTGTTTTCAAAACCATACAAGGAGAATCAGGACTGCCCCAGAGAAAACTCAAGGTGGTCAACAGGCCCCAAGTTATAGTTAACACAGTCACTGTGCCTGTCCATGCGGCAGGGTGCTAGCAGAGATGCACCCAGGCTTTCTGTCATCAAGCTGTCTACGTACCCAGCACTCGCTCTCCAAGGCCACCCAGCTCCAGATAGGCATTCTGAAATGCATCCTTCAGCTCCTCGTCCAGGGGCTGTTCCTTGCCATGGAGGAGGATGGAGCTGCAGCGGTCCAGGATCCTTTCAGGAGCACCCTTCATCACCAACAAGTGTCGTGGCTCATTCGTGTTGGGGTTCTTATGAATGGACAACTGTGGAGGATATTTCAAAAGGAAACATCAGATGGCTGCCTGTGACAGTCCATGCAGGAAAACCAGGCTTCACTATTTAGTATTTGTTACAAAATAAACCACCATCTCCTTTCTGAAATTTGAAGTATCTTATACTTCATGACATACTTTGAATACTACAGAAAAAATGAGCACTATGAGGTCAGGTGTGGTGGCTCATGCCTATAATCCCAGAACTTGGGTGGATAAGGCAGGAGGATTGCTGCAAGTTCAAGGTCAGCCTGAGCTATAAAGTGAGTTCAAGGCCAACCTGCATTGAATAGCTAGACCCTATCTCAAAAAGACAAAAGAAAAAGTTCATAAGTAAGTCACAGTACTCTACATGAACATAAATACTTTTACATGCATATGTTTACATAGAAGATTCTCCTAAAGGAACTCTGGGGACGAAGGGATTGGTACACACCTGTATACACACACCTGCTCCTATTTCCCCATATCAAACCATCCACAGATATTCAAAAGGGAGCAATATTTTGGAAGAGATCTCATTTATACTATTGATGTTCAAACAGTTGAGGGCTTTACAGGGTAAAATTTAAAGTTAAACTTTGTAAAGCCCCAGAAGGGAAGGTATTTCTTCTTCTATCGCCTATGTTTCTCGCTGTATTTCCCTCCAAGAGTGCCCTCAGCCACCTGATACTTGTTAGTGGAGTTGAACGGAATCTCGACAATCTTAGCATATCTGTCTCTCATCTCATTCACAGAGCCGCAGCAGAGCTCAATGCATTTCAACAGTGCTGACTCAGAGGCATCTCCTGCAACTGCCCGCTGTGAACAGAGAAATCATATGTTAGTTCCTCCAAAAAGGCTTCCCTGGGGCATCACTGAGAAACAGGGAAAATAACAGAATGTATTCCAATCTTGGCAGAGATGGGAGAGAATAGAGGAGGGGAAGCAGCACCACTGGGAGGCCTTGGAACCCACAGCTCTGCTGTTCACGGCGCCTCAGAGGGTGCACAACGCTGTCACGTAGCTACCCTAACGTACACGCCCAACCTACTTTATTTCTAGCTTCCCCCTACCCTAATGAAAGTCAAAAGGTCAGTGCTATTTTGAAGTGCTTCACTTTGGTTATGACCCTGAAAGTACCAAGGAAGAGGTAAACACTTGTAACACCTCTCATAGTCCAAGAATTTAAAGGAAAATGGCTTAGGGTCTCAGGACTAGGTACAAACCGTATCAAAAGCAAAGTAAAGAACTTGATATAAACTAATACTGACACTCTGACTTATTGAAAAACACTACTAGTTATAAACAACTTTTATACAGGAAAACGTCCTAGAACTTGCAAGGCTGCACATTCAGATGAGCAAATGAAAGCTCAGAGTGGAGCAATCCTGAGTAAAAAGAAAGGTGGTCACATTTAGTGAGAAACATAAGAGAGGATCACTTTCCAGAATAGCCAGCTATTAAAAAAGAATAGGGCTGCAGCACTTCCCTATCCCACCTTTTAAATTTTGGGCGGTAATGAAGTTACTGATATAACTCAATTCTGCCAATACTTAGAATAAATCTTTTGCCACTCTTCTGGAATTTCTAAATCAAGAAAAACTTGAGACTTCCACACCTCAATGCTTAAAGCCTAGAAAATTCCCACTTTAAGGTGAGGATAAACTATGAGGCAGGCATGTCCAAACAACATCATCCTTAAATAACTGAATGCCAAGAAAATCTTTTTAAGGAATAATCGAGCCCATGGTCAAAACAGAAGCCCTCTCAGTGACTTGTAAGCCATACTTGCTTTGGCAAAATTATACTGAGAACCGCCACAAGCAACTCCCAGTCTCACATGGCTCTTTGTCCTCTTGAGGACTCTGCAACTCATGATCTCTGAGATTGCATCTGAACTAGGGCAATGCAGGAAAATCTTGGTCATTTCAAACTGCGCGAGAATTCCATAAGGCTGAGCTTATTGTTCCCCTGATCTTATTCCTGCATCATTAGTAAACAAGCTAAGAACAAGTAAGAGTAGTCAAGCTATTTTAAGAAAGTAAATGGCTTAAGTGATTTACTGGAATCTGGTGTATCCTAATATTCAAATACGATTATTGAGTCACTAAAGCTAAGCCCTCAATTTTTATTATATCTTCTTTTTCTAACCAGCACAGACTATTGGGCACTGAAGGGATTTCACATCTCCAGGCATACGTACCACACAGACAGATCACACAAAGGCAAAGTGCTACTTAAAAAGCACATTCCCATGGCATTCGGCTGTGGTGTCCCCACCCACTCCCCAAGCAACCTACGAGAAAACAGTAACTCCCAAGCATTACCTTAAGAATAGGTACATTTTCCTGGTTAGCCTGAAACACTGCCCTGTTACAAAGACCTGCAATTCTGGACAGAGCAAGCCAGGTAGCTGAGGTCTTGTCGAAGGAGACACCTAACAGAAAGCAAGAAAACAACAGGAAAATGACAGTCTATACAATCATAGCTTTCTTATTAAAAACCCCATAAAAACCTGACAACTTGGTATATGTTGCTTCCTAGTTAATGTAACTGGTTTTTTAGACATCTTTCCATCATAATAACTTTTCTGATACACACAAAAAAATCTCTCAGTCAAATGATAAAAATTAAAAAACTGCCAGCAACATGAGTAGGCAGCACTAGAGAGGCATCCCTGGGCTTACCACTCTGATTCTCTGTTGTATCAGCTTCATGGATTTGATTGTCAAACCACATGTGGGCCACTGTCATTCGGTTCTGAGTCAGAGTTCCAGTTTTATCTGAGCAGATGGTAGATGTGGACCCCAAAGTCTCCACAGCTTCTAAATTCTTCACCAAGCAGTTCTTCCTTGCCATGCGTTTGGCAGTAAGCGTCAGACACACCTAAAGAGTCATTAAAAACAACATTATTCAACCAGGAAGTCTATACCAATGCTAGCTACATCCTCACATGGGAGAAATTTATCCAAAGTTATGTCTCTATCTTCTTCTGAAAACATAATGGTAACATATATATGAGCCCCCTACAACAAAAAAGCGATGGATTAAAAAACAAAACACCCACCAAAATTTATCACATTCTATTCACAACTAGTCCACTATTCTTTCTCCATTATAATCTTGTGGGTAATGTATGTGATAATCTAAGAATAAAATGTCTTAAGGTTTCTGAATAAACATGCTGAGGTTTATTCAAAGCTCACCATGTAACATGGCATGGGAAAACAAAAAACAAAACAAAACTATACAGCAACATGAATGACTAAAGTGGCAGCCTCTCAGGAGAGGCTAATGGAGAGTCCTTTACCCATGCCAGCTGACCTGCCGAGGGTGACCACCACCTTCCCCGTGTCTCTTACCGTGACGGTGGCCAGCAAACCTTCCGGCACATTGGCTACGATGATGCCAATGAGGAAGATGACTGCTTCAAGCCAGGTGTACTCGAGGATCAGCGAGAGGATGAAGAAGGAAACACCCAAGAACACAGCCACACCCGTGATTATGTGGATAAAATGTTCAATTTCTGCAGCAATGGGTGTCTGGCCTCCTTCTAGTCCAGAAGCCAGGGTAGCAATTCTTCCCATCACAGTGCGGTCCCCAGTGTACACAACAATGCCACGAGCAGTGCCTTAAGAAAACATAGGGGACACGAAACTGTATCAAGTTGTACCCAATCAGAAAAAACCCACAGAATGTGCATGTAGCATGGTTTCAAAAAGGGACAAAACGCATTTGTAAAGGACTAGTTCCTTGGCTATATTTGTTGTTTGTTTTAAACCACAGTCTTTGGCAAAGAGATTTCTACCCACTGCAGGGCAGCAGCCCAAATATCTATGCTGGATAGGCGCTGTCAGTAAGAGAGGCACTGTGGGGGTGTAGTGAGGACTCAGACCAGCCACTGGGCATTACCTGTCAGCCAACGGAATGACCTCTGCTTGGTGCTGACGAAATGGAGAAAACAAAAAAAAATCTCTGTCTCTGCTCTTTTTTTTTTTTTTTTTTTTTTTTTTTTTTTTTTTTGTTAACACCCACAATAAATACCATGTCATCCATCAGAGTTGCTTAAAATGGTTTACCTTCAACACAATTGGTTGAAAAAAAGGCAATGTTTCTGGTCTCTAAGGGATTTTCATTTGTGAAATCTGGAGACCTAGTTTGGGGTTCTGATTCACCAGTGAGGGAGGAGTTATCCACCTGTGAGAAAAATAAAAGAGTCATGTGAATGCAATGGCTTCCTCATGAGCTCCTGTGCTCACAATTCAACCTGCCCAAGGAGCACAGCTGGCTATAAGAGGTTACACAGCTAATGTGCAAGGCCCTGGATTTGATCCCCAGCACTGGGAGGAAAAACAAACAAACACTCCCCCCCCCCAAAAAAAAACCCAAAGATCTACCTTGCAGCCATTTGCAGATATGATTCTGAGATCAGCAGGGATTCGGTCTCCTCCTTTTACTTCCACCAGATCCCCAACTACAACGTCCTCTGCATTTATGCTCATTTTCTCACCATTTCGAATCACGAGAGCTTGCTTTGGAAGGAACAATTTATACCATTAAATACTAGCAAGGAAAAGGTAGTGACCAATACAATACAAAAACCTAGATCACAAGTGATCCGTACTCCTAATTACAGGAATATACAGCAGACATATTACCCATCTTTTGATTTGTACAAGATACAAAAACTTGTTCAATACTTATCTAAGAGATATTGCTCTAAGATACCAAGTCTGCTTTCTGGGCCATGTTTGGATAGAGTCACTTAATCCTTGGAAAACCTTAATTTCACACTACTATTTCATGTCTTGGGGGCTGTCAAATCACCTGATGGGGAAGAACAAAGCATCAGATACCTGAGGGACCATGTTTTTGAAAGAATCCATAATCTTTGAACTTTTAGCTTCTTGATAGTAGGAGAAACAGCCAGTTATGATGACGACAGCAGACAGCACAACACCAAGGTACAGCTAGAGGGGAAAACAAGATAGATCAATGGGTCTTAGAGTACTGGGTACAGTCAAATCACTTTTGACCAAATAAAAACAGAAAGATCAAAGCTTCAGAAATACAGAACTCTTGCTTTCATAGTCATCATTCTCAATCCATATCTGGAGGGTGAGAAATGGAGTCAGATGTAGGCTAACTTGATAGACTTGTAAATCTTATTTCTCCTGATATATTAAACCAACGGTATTTTTTCAAACTTCTGACTTCAGAAGGACAGCTGCCAACTTGTAGGGAAGCTGGGTTCCACCATCTGCTAAGTGACAGCCAGAGCTGGGCCAGTACCTGGGTAGATCTGTTTGTTCCCAGCAGCCACCTGCAGGTAGATAGCTCATGAGGGAGCCCGGAGCAAGAGAGGAAGGGAGAAACAGTGAAGGGGGAGGAACAGCTGGGCCCGGAAGGCAGTAGCTACCGCAACTGAAAATAAGTGATAGGAACCACAGGCTAAGATGAAACCATATGTGTACTTACTACTCACATTATCATTTGAAGGTCCCTCTTCCATGCTTAAGCTTTCAATGCCATAAGCCAAGAAGCAAAGAATTGCTCCAATCCACAGTAACATCGAGAAGCCCCCAAATAGTTGCCGGCAGAATTTGACCCATTCAGGAGTAGTGGGAGGGGGTGTGAGGGAATTAGGACCATCTCGGGCCAGGATCTCAGCAGCCCGAGCAGAGGTTAAGCCCTGAGGAGTAAAGAAACACAAGTAAGATAAACTGCACCCACACGCAGAAGCGAACACATTTACTTGATAGCTGGAAAGCTGCAATAAAGGATTTAGGGAGGAAACACAGCTGCCAAATTTCTCCATGAAGAACTCTTGGTTCAAACAAACAAGAAATACAAATTTCCTGAGGAGCATCCCCATTGAAACTCTTCTAAAAATGTTCCATGGACAAATGTGAAGCTAGCCGAAATTTTTCTATGTTTTAGATCAAAGCATATGTGTGATAACAGTTTTTAATGATTCAGTTTTGCAGATTAAGGGCTTTAAATCATCTATGTACTAGACTACCTCTGTTAGAGAGGGAGAGAAACTCTACATCCATCAGAGGAAGAAAAACTTTCTGTGCAAATCCACTCTTACTGGATTAACAGTCAAGTTTTAAGCACAGAACTTTATTCCTAGCATTGTCATAATACATATGTCTCACTGCTGGGCAGCTTGAAAGGCCAGTGGAACATTCATGACTGTGCCACTTGTACCAGCAAGTGCTACAAGCTACCTGATGGAACAGTCTTGCATGTACCACTGGTAGGGATGTGCTAAATTAATTACCTTGTTTAATTCTCCTGATAACTCTTAGTTATTACTAACCCTATTTATAAGGAAGAGAACACACTTCACAGTCACGCATGTAGGTACATGCTTGTAATTCCAGTTACTCAGGAGGCTGACACAGGACAATTTTAAATTCAAGGCCAGCCTGGACAACTTACTGAGACTGTCTCAAAATAAAATTTAAAACAGAGGCTGGGAACGTATCTCCGCTCTTCTCAGCAGTAAAAGAGAAAAACAACAGCAACAAGTGAAAAACAACCCAAAACTCTTACGTGAGACATTATAGGTAAAGTGCTTATAGTCAGCCTGGCCTGCAGGAGACACAAAATAAACCAACAGCTCTTGCTGAGTTTGGTCAAGACACCCTCTCAGAGTAAGCTGTTGCCCTCCTGATGCTCCCCTCAAACAATGACACTAAACACCTCAGTCTGCAAGCCACTACTCCACCTTTTTAAGTGAACATCTACAAATAACAAGTATCGATCTCTTCAGATTTTAGCAAACAACAAAACTCTATACTTAAGGCTACACACAAAACACATTTTTAAACCAAAAGTTTCTTTGAATTTTGTGAAAAAGTTTCATATAAAGGACAGAATAACCAATATTTTGACATATTTCAATGAGCTGGCTGGGAAAAGCACAAGAATTTAAATTTTTGAAAATCCAACTTTTTGAAATAGTCATTTCAATTTAATAAATGTACAAAAATAAAGGAAGCATTTATAATCAAAGGTCTGGGAATAAGCATGGCTTTGAAGCCAATTTCAGGTCTTGGTGCTCCCACATATCGATTCAAACCTACTGTAAAACAGGAAAAATAACATCCTCTTCCAAGAAGTTTAAAACAAATGGTAACATAGAAAAGCCAGAGATCTGTATGTAGCTGTCACTATATTCTTCGTAGAACCTCCAAGACTGTGATATGGGACAATATGTAATAGGAAAAACTAGTATTCTACACAAGTTTCGAGTAAGAACGTACTCGGCTCAAGTCTGTTCCATATTTACGATGAAGTTCATCAAGGCTAAGTTTATGATCATCCTATAAAAAAACAGAAATAACAGAATTAAACACTAGCATTATGAAAGGATAGAAAGCATTCATATTACTTATTCTTGTCATTAGGCTAATAAGCACATTTCTCTTCACTGGCCTACATTTTAAAGCTATTGACCAACAGCTTAACAACCACATAGCTGCTTCCCAAAAGTTCCTCAATGGCCATGGTTAACGCTGCTGATGGAGGTCCATTACTGCTTACCACAAGAGGGCTGAGGAACCCAGCTGCTCTCAGACCTGAAAAGACCTCATTTGCCTTCTCTGGTGACCAGACAGACTCCAGAAGGTTAAGTGTGTGGAAGCCTCCGTGGCTTGCAGAGGTCTAAAATCCTAAGTTCAGCATAACCCAGAGAAAAGCAAAGCCCTCTTAGGTAAGCTAAACCTTCTATGGACCTTTGGTACTGTCAGAGGGAGGGGACAACTTGTCCTACCCTCTACAAGATCTAAGATATTGCTTTTTAAGAACAAAAAGCAACCTTCTTCCCAGCTCACCATAGAAACTTCTTTCTTCAGTTCATCCATATCCCTGTCTTTCTTGGCCTTCCTGCTCTTTTTGTCGCCTTGTTCTGAAACCGCTGCGGGTTCATATTTATCACGTCCAACCTACAGGAGAAGGTGAGAAAGGCGCGGTTGTAAACTATGTGTAACACCTGAAAACTAAAAACAGCCGCTTTCTGGAAGTCACTGGGATAACATCTGTGAACTATAACAGTGCAACTGTGCCACACAAACGAAGCCACTCTGGTAAGGCTGCCACCATTACTCGAGATGCACCTCAGGGCATCAAAGGCGGTGGCTGGAAAGTTGTGCAATCCCAGAATGGACGACCTCATCAGAGGAACTTCCATTTGAGTGCACGTGGTGAATCAAGCCATCCAAATTCCTACTCTTCAATGTAGGATACACAGTGTAGGACTGAGGAGTTGGTGATTTGAGGCAGATGGGCCATGTGCAAGTCCTCGGTTCCCCTGCATCCTTGGGCAAGTCATGATTTCTCAAAGGTCAACTTCTGTGATGGAAATAAGACTACTGCCAACCTCAATTGTTATTATTGAGGGTTAAATGGTCGTTTTTTACATTTAGGGTTTTTTTCATATTCTAAAGATAGTGTTAGGTATCAAGTGTATCTTTAGCGTTCGTGTCAGAACACTGACCTTCTCCCCTGTTTGTATTAAGTTAGCCTAAAAATTCCCAAAATTCTTTAAGAGGAAAAAAATTAAAAAGTCCATACTCCATGCGAAAGCCTGAAAATAAAATCTCCAAAATGAAAGTCACTAGAAATGTTTTGACACAAGCAGGATGTAGGAAATGCATGTGCACTGTCACATAATTCACAGGATCCACCTACACCTCTAGAAAACTGGAAGAATTTTCAGAGAAAATGTTGATTGTATAGTTTAAATTTAGATTGTTCCACTCCCCCTATCCATTTAAATGCTTGAGTTTATCTCCAGGAAGCCTAAACATGGTACTTCAGAGTCAGTCCCTTGAACACAAGAGCCCCTCTCCCCAGTTCCCCAAACGGCCTCCCACATCTAAGACTTGGAAAGGAGGAGTAGGTATTAGTAATTTTTCTAAAATGGATGATAACTGGTACTAATACTATTATTTTGTGGCTCTCTACACTAAGGCTATATTTAGGAACTTGTACGTAGATTATAATTTTATTGTGCTGAGATGAAAACAAAATAAAGTCAAGAAGCGTAATTGTTCCAGTCATAACTAATATAACTGCAAATAAAACAGGACACTCACTTGTATTTGAAAGACTTCAACTTTCTGCTCCATATTAGTGGGTGTTAAAGATAATTATATTAGTTAAACTTATATATTTAGTTACACTGTCCAACTCTCGTGGCCATGGGCAGTGCTACCTGACAAATAACATCCCAAAGAGCTAAGGTACTTCAGTTTTCATCTTATCAGTTCAGTGTGGAGCAGGTCTAAAGATAGTCAACATTCCTGACATTCTCTCCACTGTGGAACAACCACATTTTAAGTGCCTCTTTGAGCAGAGCTCTTTGTGCCAGTTAAAATGAAAAGTAATCACATGCAATGAAGGCAAAGAGACAGAGGAAATAGAAAGATAGAGCTTCTACCAGAAAGGAACCATAGTCTAGAGTAGTATTTCTTTCACATATTTAATGGGAAAACACAACTTAAAAAAAAAAAAATCACCTGAAAAGACACTGACTGCGGATATCTAAGATATAGGTAGCTGGTTTGTAAATGTTCAAAACGCAGCTCAAATTTTAAAATTATATTTTTATTAAAATAGATTTAAATGACAAAGTTAAAAATTCCTCAGCCTCCCCATCTATATGCTTTGACTATTCTCAGACATTCAATATTTTCCACTCCAAAAGAAGGGAGAATTATTGAAGCACCAAGGCCTTGGATACCTTCCAACGTTTTATCACTGTTTATAAAATAAACGTCTTGCTTGCAAGCTCCATGGCTATCAATGGTCAAGTCAGCTGGAAATCTGGATTCCTTAGTAACTCCCCTCCCTTCACCAATTACTGTTCTATAAGGCACAGTTTTAATGAGGTCATTTTTGAAAGGTATACAGAAAATATTAAGACATGAAACTGCCAATTTTTCATCTCTTCACTAGACAATGTTTGTATAGCAGCAGAATGAGGCGGCTTATACAATGCAGTTCTTCCCCAGGAGTTAAACAGTAATTTAATCCTAGCTTATCCTGGGAAAGTGGGGGGGGGTATCAAGTAATAAGTACCTAAGTTCCTACCAGTCTTGATTCCTGCGATTTCATGGCTGAAAAAGGTTTATGCACGTAAGTGTGTGCGCGTGTGTGTGTGTGTGTGTGTGGTGTGCAGGGTGAGACAAGGAACAGCTGTAAAGTTAAGTAAGACGTTTTCTTTAGCATTTGGGAAAAACGGAGGTCACAGCAAGGAGGATGATAAGTATGGTGTTTCCTCAGTGACCTGCCCACACCACCCTTGAGTGCTGGCTACGCATTTTCACTTTCTCAATTAGAGAACTCAGTAACTTCCCCTACTCGTACAGCAAATCAGGGTGACCCGTGCTCCTCCTGTGTTCCACAAGATGGTCCCCTCTGAGTGTCTGAGGAAAAGTACAGGGAACAAGTGGCCCATCTACAAAAAGGTTACTGGTGAAAATGAGGTAAGCTGGGTTACAGGGTTTTATTTCATTTTTCCATTCTAATTTAAGAAGTGAGAAATCACAGCAAGGGCGAGGACTCATTCAGTGTGACAGTTTAAGGCTGTGCCATCACTTTACCCTTTGCTTCCTAGGGATTCCATTCTCTCAAAGATTAGCTACAAATTTTACTACTATTTGGTCTGGGCAAGGGAAGAGGTGCCTAGAGATGGTAACACTAGACAGGAGGAATCAAGATTAAAACACGTAACATGGCTGTCATTTGCTGAACCCTCCCAATGAGGGAGACATGACCAAGACTCTAGAGCGAAAGATGCTCCTTTCTCTTTTTCAGTAATTTTTATAGTCACCAAAAATTACCCCATAATCAGGAAAGAAAAAAGCCACCACAAAGAAAAAGCCAATAAATGTTTGAGAAAGGAGTTTCCATTCCCTAAGTACATTACTTATGGGCTGTGTAAGCCGCAGCTGCCAGCAGCACCACCCTACAGCCTTCTTCTTACTCTCCCAAACACCATCCCCAGCAGGGCAGCTTCTAGAAGACTCCTCAATTAGGCACTATGGATGCATAAGACCCGTGGCCCAAAGGGACCTCAGAGACCGTAGACTTGTGAAATTCCTGATGCATATGTCTAGGAGATACTTAAGCAGCTTGCCTTTCCCCTCACTCTAGATTTGTTGATGGTATTTTTATACCCCAACTCCAAGTCATTCCAGTGTTGCACCTGCCAGCTACACGATTTGAACAGCTGGCCTCAGCCTCCTTGTCCCTTACAATGAGACTAACACTTGGCACAAGGATGGTTTGGTTAGTTAAGGAACCCACATCCAAACTGAAAATGTAAAACCTGCACCATTTCCAAAACCTACAAACAAAAGCTTTTGATCAGCAAGCCAGGCCTCAGGGCCGGCAATAGAAACTGCTCCAAATGCAGCCCAATTCACAGCTGGCCAACAAGATGGTACGAATGGAACCTCTGAACTCAATCTGGCCAGTTCCACCCTGGCAGGGAAGCTGGGAGCTGAGTTCAGATCATGCTGGTTGCCTAGCAGCTCTGCCTTGTTTGGGTTACTGTTAAAAGGGTAAAGACTTTCCAGCTTCCTTGAATCATATGTTATCATTATTCAGTGTAATTATATACCTGAAGGTACTCCATGCAGTGTTTCACAAAAGGTACTAAAACTTGATTCTAATTAAGTTACAAATTACTTGCCATTCCCCACTTCCTATAAAAATTCTTCAAACCTTTAAGAAAAAAACTTATTTGGGGTATTTTTAAGTTTTATTTGATTTTCAAGAGGTGATCAAGCCCAGGTTACATCTTTATTTGCTCCTGAAACTGTGGTTGAGTTTGTATACAAGGAATTTCCTAGCCAAAGATCTGAAGCTACAAGATGCTTAGGCTAAGGAAAAGTAGCTTCTGCCTAGGTATTGAGATTGCCCTCCAGGGCCAGCAGTGACAATTCAATGCAGAGCAGTTCTCAGCAAAGGATGAAATCCAGGTAACAGCCAAACCTTTTCTGGCTCCCCCAAACACACAATGCAGAATATACTCCTAAAAAGCCGAAGCAGTAGGTCCCTTGTGAGCTGAGCTAGGTATTGGACCACACTTGCGTTGCAGCCCATCAACCTGCAGGGGTCAAAGGCAAGAGGAATGATTCCAGCCACCGAGTTCCCTCATCTCAAAATGAACAGGACTTACACCTTCCTCCCTAATCCACCTACATGCAAATTCTTAACAACCATGCCAGCCCACCCTACCTGCAACAGGTTGTTACCATCATTATTTGAAAATAAAAATTCTAGAATGTGTAATGAATCAATGTACTTTACATTCACTAGCTCTAAATAAAGGCACTTTGCTTTCCAGTTAGTAAAAACAAAGGCCCCTCCCCCCAGTTTTTTCAATGCGATAGCTCTACCACTGTGTTGAGCTCCTAGGAAGAACAAAAACTTTGGTGGCTTATTCTTCAATACTCTCTTCCTACCACCCTCCCCATTTTTTTTAGCCAGATTAGTATGAGATAACAAATTACAAGGAGATCAAAATCAATTCTCACTAATTCTGACCATTCCTCAACTGGTACCCTGAAACCTAAGTTAAGAAGTAAAATGACTGCAGTCTGAAGAGGGTAAAAGTATCTAGGGCCTAAAGAAACATAGTACAGTATGAGCTGAAATAACGAAGGAGATAGGTGCTCTTGTCCTGGAAGCATCACATGGAGGATATAGGAAAAACACAAGATAAGCCCCCAAATCCCTAGGGCCCTGGATACCATCATGATAACACACTAGAATACAAACACATCTAGTGATCACAAAACATTATCAGGCCCAAGCAAGGTAAGGCTCAAAGATAAAGATCAAACCATCAAGGCTCAATTTTCAGATGACCAACAGAGAATATGGGATAGTTGTTACTAAACAGGGGTTGAATAAAACAAGATAAAGAAGTCACTAAGAAATAAGGTCTCTTGGAGAAAAATTCCTTTGGCTCAGAACTCAAAATGAAACCAAACCAGAAAGAAAATGGGGGATGGGGTGGGGTGGGGTGGTCTATTCCTGACTGGCAGAAACTGCCATCCCAAACATCAGTCACATAAATGTGAAGAACTTCGAGTGGATTCCTGACAACAGATTTCAGCACAACTAATGAGGTGAGTCATATGCAAAGAACAGTCTCTCTGACAACAGCCAAAGAACACACTTCCTCTCGCTCAATTCATAGCAATGTGAGAAAGTTCAGACTCGACCTGGTTATTAGCCCTTTCACCCAACATATCTAATGAAAGAGAATTTTAAAAGGAGTTACGTGCAATAGATTTTCGTTTTCTTTATGGTATCACTTACAGGACATGTATTTTTGGTGTAATCTAGAACTGGTCAGTGCTGGCAGGGATAGAGAAGCATTTTGCCCAGTATTTTGCTGTCCAAACCCAGCCACTCTGATTACCACGAGCCCATCTGATCTGACACTCATGTTTCTTCTGGCCTGATGGCTGGCAGAGGGCCCTGGGCAACTAGAAGAGGGCAGCGCAGCCCCGTGTCAGGCTCGCTCCCATCACAGAAGGCTGAAAAGCCCATTCCACTTGAGAGTTAAGGGAAATCAATCACAGATAGTTTTTCACCTGCAGAGTGAAGTAGCTGGAACCCTAAAATGTCCCTAACTACATTTGTTTGTTGGCTAAAGATAACAGTTCTCAACAGTATCAATGGACATTTCCACTTTCTATTCCCTTGAAGAGCAAGTAACAGTACCTTCTATTATTTTCATCTTTAATGTATTTCTTTAGATGTAGGGAAATTGTTATTAGGACTAAGTGGTTAACAGTAAACTCCTTGGCTTCCGAAGGCCCAATCTTGATCTTTTCTCAGTTCCAATTACTTTGTAAGCCTCAGCAACAATAGCCACATCCTACGCTGGCATAGCCCTTGCTCTATAAACAGAACACCGATTATACCACTTGATCCTTGGGGTGAGCAGGACCCCTAGGTCAGACCAGAAACAAAATGGTTTTGCTTCTTCTTCTGTTTTCAAGTGAAGCGACAATTTTTTGATTAAAAAAAAAAAAAATCCTTCACAACTACTTTGGTAAAGCTGCTGTCTCATTTTTAAAATTTAGACATATTTAAAAAGAATTGGCTGATTTGAAGAGAAAGTCACTAATCTCTGAATTTGTTGCTAAAATAATCAGCAATGATTTTGAAAGGTACTTAATACATACGAATGCCCCAATTATTACCATGTTTTAAAATGTTGAATTGCTTTTCATTTAAAATGGGATTTAGGGGTAACACTCCTAAGAATCTGTACATTTTAAATTTTAAATCTCACCTAGATTGGGGTGGGGGGTTGTTTTGCCCTGCAAGCAGGCAGTCATGAGTTCAATCCCTGGTACCAATAAAAATGAAAAAGACAAAAGAAAAAAAAAAGCAGCTGCTTTGCACTATCTCAGGTTTATAATGCAGGACTCCCTCTTTCCCAACCTCCCACCGAGGTTGAGTCACAAGTGTTACAAACTTACTGGCCAAGAGACTACAAATTAACAAACAGTAGGTTACCAGAAGAGGATACACCCAGGAGAGGGTACACAGAGAACCTAAGAGGCTGGGGAACTAAGCCTGTGTCCACACAAGCAGCTAAGAGGCAAGAGTGGGAGGCCACCTCAAACCCTCCCCTTTACCCCCAGGGCTGGTCACTAGCGCCTCCAGCCACTACTCCACTTGTTCCTGGCCAGGCTGGGCAACTCTGCACTGGAAGAACTGTAGCTTACAATGTTCTAAGTCTAAAGTACTAGCTTTATAACAGCCAAAGGATATTTAGTCACACTTTCAAATTGAGCTCCAAAAGGGCAGCTGATAATTTTAATCCATACAACCAGGGTTTCTGCTGACATGTGTACCCCGTGTGCAACATTCCCCTGAACCTTTTCCCTATTCCTCTCTAAATTACTACACATAAGCTATGATTTTCTAGGTAACTAAGTTAATATTCAAACCCAAAACGGTGGTGAATGGCTGATGACACCCCTCCCCCATTCTTTATAAACTTAAGAAAGAATACTTTCTCAAATTTCTAAACAGTTATGGTGTGTACCTTTGGTGAGCTAACCAGTGGTGGATGGTAGGCCTAGCTGAGGATTTAAGCCAAGTCGCTGGCAAAAACACCCAGCAAGAATGAAAGGGACAAAATCCTATTTCATCCAGGAATGATTCAGCAAGAGTTGTTCTTTCATTTTCTTACCAAAATGCTTAGGAATCAGATTTTAAGGACATACAAAAAATCACCTGAAATATCATCAAACCCTAAGCTCTAAACGGAGAAGAAATTAACAATGACCTTAAAAATTAGCTGCAGGCACAGGCTTCCTGGTTAACCAATTATCAGCAGGGCTTTAGTCACCACTCCACCCACATTTTAATCCCCATGTGGAAAAACCCCAACATTTCAGTATAAAATAGTCTTCTGAATATTTGGACGATCACAAGGAAGTCACCAGAATGGATGGGCACACACACACAACCTCATGTTCAGTAATGTACTACAGTACCCAAAATACTAAATATTATCTTGCTGACAGGCAGCATACCAAGTTTATGTTAAACCACACTCTTGTGCTTGTGAGCCATCAGACATTTTGCTAGGATTCTCGAGACACGAGTTGAGCCTCCACTAACTACTCGGATGTGTCACTACTGTGCCTGAGTGTGGTCATAAGAGACATCTATATATGGGAACATCAGTTACCCAAATATCTGTCTTGTCTATGCATTCAATGTCACAATCTTGTTTCATCTTAAGAATTCTAGAGTTCTGCATGTAAGGTAACGGTTAAGAGGTAAATGGATGCTTAGGTCTGAAGGATCACAGGCTGTTCAGGAACCAGTCTTTTCTGTCCCTACCCAACCATTTGACCTTGAGCAAGTCACCTTGCCTTAGTACGTCTGCATCTGTGATCTCTAAAAGGAACGAGCTTTAAAACAAAACACCGCTTAGGAATGCCCTAGGGTTTGATGGTGTGGCACAAACGCAACCCACTTACTAAAGTAACCAAGTAATGGGGGAGCACAAAGACTCTGATGCTACCTGATCTAGGCCAGCCTTACCCTTCTAAAAGTGACACATATGGTGCAACATTCTTACTAGCTCCTGTTCTTCCTACTCGGCCCCAGCCTTTCAATTACCTTCTTCAAAATTCGGAGTACCCAAAGAGGGAGGCCCTTCCTCTGGCCCCATCACTCTGTCCACTGCCAGGCAGGTACCTTAAAACCTGCAAAGATCTACAGAGCATCTGGATTCTCTCCCACCTGTAGTCCCGTGACCTGGTGCTTTTTAATCCCATGAATTGCTGATACTTTTTCTGGTTATCCTAGGCTATCCAGAGTACATATTTTTTCAAATGGACTCGGATTCTGTGGATTATTTCTAAAGTATATATATATATATATGTACTTTAGAAATAATCCAGGCTTCACATGCCACTGATACATCTGGAAACACGGTATAGAGAGCGCTCTACACCTAAGCCACTCACTCTTCTGCCTCCAGGTCCCTTTGGTAGGACCTCCTGGGTGAGTCAGTGGTGCTGGAAAACAGCAAGTACTTCCAACCGCCTCTAGTTCTTTTCCAAGGCCCTGGTGGGGGGTCTGCCTGTGGTCCTTCAAGGCGTCTCCTCCCAAAAAGCCTGCACGTTCCTCCCCACTCAAGATAGCTCCAGATACCAGGGTGCATCCTGTACGGAAAGCTGCTCTCAAAACGTTATCATTAACGTTCTCAAAAGTATACCTTAAAGCCAATCTGTCTTAGGCGATGAAGACACACCCTTTCTGGCACCAGCCCGCCAGCCTGGCTCTGCGGTAAGGGTAAGCTAGTTTTTTTTTTCTTTTTTTCTTTTTTCCTTTGGGGGAGGGCGGCTGCCTCTGCGGGGAGCTGGCTAAGCCCCAGCGCCTCCAAGAAGGAGCCTCAATCCGGAGGCTGCGCCCGCCGGCGCCGGGCCTCGGCAGGAGCGGCGGCCCGGGAGGGGGCCCGGCGGAGAGCCCCGGGGGAAGGGGAGGAGCGCGCCTGTGCTTCGGGCACAGAGGGCGGAGGGAAAAAGCAGAGGGGAAACGCGAGGTGAGGGCGGGCGCAGGGGAAGCCAGCGGGCTCTGGGATGCGGCCGGCGCCCGCTCCGTCTCCGGGGCCGCCCAGCGACCTCCGGCCCGGCTCCCAGACAGAGCCCGCGGCTTCCGAGCGCCGCCTCGAGCCCCCGCGCGTCCCCTCGGCGCGCCCTTCCCCCGTTGCCGCGCTCCCTCCATTTCCAAAGTGCGTCGTCTTTTAGCCGCGAGGCGCCGCTTCCTCCTCGGCCGCCTCCCGCCGGCCGCGGGCGCCGCACCACCGACTTCCTCCTCTGCCCGCCGGCACCCCCCGCGTCCCCCGGCCGGGCGCGCCGCGAACTCACCCCCTTCCCCATGGTGGCGGTGCTCTGCGCCCGGCGCGCGGTCCTGCGGCTGGAGAGCGGGGAGAACGGGAAGCAGCTCCCGGCCGAGCGAGCGGGGCCGGGGGAGCCGAGAGGAGGGAGCTAGGGCTGCCGAGGAGCGGGAGGGACGATGCCGCCGCCCAGGCTGCTGCCGCCGCCGCCGCCGCTTCTTCTGCCACGTGTCCGCCTCCTCCCGGCGCCGCTCCGCGCCCCAGACCCAGCCGCAGCTCGAGCCTGCGCCTCCTCCTCACTTCCTAAAATATGCAACCTGCGTGCAGGCCCCGCCCACGCCGCATACGTCACCGTTACCGGAGCAACCTGACACCGGCCTCCCGCCTGGCCCCGCCCCCGCCCGGAGGCGGGCCCGGGGCGCCAGAGCCCCCGCCGCCCCGAGCTGCTGGGACCCCTGGGGCGGAGCAGCGGGGACTCGGCGCCCCGCGCCCTCCTTGCGCCGCCTCGTCCTGCCCGCCTGCTGCGTGGGGCCCAGAAGTCCGCAGTGAGCGCAGTTTGGTGGCATACCAGGCTCCTCCGGGCTCGAAAGCTTCGCGCCCCGGTTTTTCCAGCACATCAGGGGGCTCCTTGGGGCTTCAGGGATGTACCTGGGTGGGGAGGGGCTCGCACATGACAGCAGCTAGCGCGCGATGAGCGAACCCGCCGCTGTGCGGCGCCGGGGCCCAGTGCCCACCTGCGGAGGCCTCCATAAGCTTTTGATGCACTCCGGTCCCAGCTCTGACCTGGGGTCGTGTTTTCCACTCCCTCTTTGCTTCAAGAAGAACGGATCTGAACAGACGAGAGGTCCCAAGCCATCCCCACCCTAGCGCTTCTCTTCAAGACCTGAGCGTGAGGATCCAAAACGTGACAGGGAATTCATTCACATCACTGTGTGAATTAAGACTGCCTGACCATTTGGAGGAGTCAACTTTTAGGGGAGAAAAACCTGAAACCTTATCTTTAGCAAAAGAAGATGAGTGAAGAGAGATTTGAAGACTTCTCTGCTTCCCTGTGCCTTGCACCTGCACAGAAAGCGCCTCCTGAGGCACAGGTGTGTATCTTTTGATGGGCCCAGGTCCTGGCTCTTCCCCCACACCCTACCCCATGCCACCGGGCTCCTCTTGATTGCTCCTGTTTCTTAGCACAGACTGCAGTGGCTGAAGCAAAGCATTGAAAACACGGTATTATTATTTACCGTGCTGTCAGAGAGTCAGATGCACTATAAGAGCACAGAATTCACCGAAGAAAGTCACTCAGTGTCTCTGGGAGTTCTTACCACAAACAAGAAAAATACTCGAAGGCAAGTCAAAGATGACCTCAACAACTTAAGGTATTAATTCAATATGTACAAATAAGGATATGAAGCTTGAAAAAAAAACAGAGGAGAAATAATTAACAACTGTCTTATCAGTTACATCACTAAGATAGGTCTCATCCCTTTGTGGAAGAAACAGTTGCTTTATGAATCTCTTTCCTCTTGCCAAAGAATGCATGGTTGAAGACGTGTGTCTACTCCAGCCATCTGCAGACTTGATTGAAATAGTCCAGGCCACAGAGAACAGAAGAACTGTAAATAGAAAATTATGACTGCCAGCGCAAAAGCCCCCCAATTCAGAACGAGTTCTCAACTTTTGCTGTAACGAAAAGTTACAAAAGCTCTAGAAAGTGCTCCGTTTATATGCTTTACCACATTACTGCCAGCCTCTGGGTAGCTTCCTAAGTTCTCTTGGTTTGTTTAAAATGAATTATCCTGTGGGTCTTTGTTTGAGAAAAAGGGAACAACCACAACAAAATATAGAAAGCACAAGTCTAAACACTGTAGGTTTCTCCTGCCAGCTGATCTCTTATTCACCTAAGTAAAATAATCATTTGTTTATTCAACAAAATACCCTGGTAAACCAAAGCATTTCCAATTTCTCTAGAACCCTTGTTTTGGCTGTTACATGCTGCTAAAGCCATTTTAGGAGGACCCCAAAACTTTAGCTGTGTTCTAGGATGGAGAAAGGGCAAAAATACAAGAAACTTTAACTCTGTACTTCGCTTTTGGCTCCACAAATAGTTTTACATGTACAAGGTTCTGGGATTTTTACATATCTGCAAGGCAAACGGTGGGAAACAGGAGGCTCAGGGATTCTTTGGAGGCCACTTAGTGTTTGAGGGAGGTGAGCCTCAAAATTGCAAAATGAGAACCATCTTCCTACTTTTAAAGTTTGGCCTTTGAGCACGGAACCTTTCCACAGGAAAGGGTGATGGAAAGAATCCATCTGGTTGAAATAGGGAGTCTATACCCACAGAGCTAACAAGTAAATCAGGGGCAAGCCCGAGGTGCAGAAGTCTCAGAGGCAAAGAGAGACATGGAGGAACACAGGTAATCAAAAGTAAAAATGTTCTTTTGAAAACGGCTCATTTTCTCCTCTAAGGAGAGGATTCTAAATAAAACTTCAGAGAGCAATGATTAAGCATTCTTCTCAGTTTATGCTGAAGAAATTAAGGCTCAGAGAACAATTGACACTGGACCAAAATTATCAACAGGTCCCTTTTCTAACCCCCAGACTACTGCAGGGGGATTCTGGAGGAAAGGAGAAGGACCTGCTTTTCCTTTCTTTTTAAGCTCCTAGCTTGGGACACAAAGTGATTCGCCTGGAGACTCAATATTTACAAACCTCAAGACTGATCATATTATTGAATTCCTAAGAAATCTTTTTTCCTCACATGTCTTTGTGATAGCTTTCTCATTTTATTTTCTTTTTATGTGTGTGACATTTATGCACATGTAGCATACCATTGTCATCCCCATTACCCACCACTTTGCCCTAAACACAGGCTTCCAAATAGCTAGATATAATGAAAAATGGGAATTAAAACATCATTTTAACTCGTAAGTCAACATACAATTCCCTAACCCCAAAAGAGTTCAAATTGCTGGGAAGACTCAGGCATTTGTATCTGATTTTCGAGTACATTTCTTAAACAAAACTCCAAAAAGACCAAGGACCACTTTGCCTCCACTTACTTCAGAGACTAGCACTAAATACAATTCCACAGACTAAAGAAATTTTAAGCTACCTGGCAACCAATCTCACATATAAAGATTGCAATTTTAGAGGATAATGAGAAAGGAGAAAAGGGCCAAATTAAGGAGTAGTGTAGTGTCAGTTGTCTAGCTCAAGTTGAAAGTGTCCCCTGTGCCACCAGATCTCAGATTTTGGCTTTTTGACAAGTCCCTTCCAATTTATCACGCGATGTGGACATTCTCATAGAAGTTGTGATGGTAGCAGGAGGTGATGGTTCTGGTGGCGAAAGTTCATCAAATAGCAGTATCCCAACTAAATGCTTTCTTCAAACAAAAGCATTATCTTTACAGTTATGTATAAAAACTATATAGTTTAGTACCTACATCATGATACTCTGAGGATCAATTGATGCAGTACATATATACACAAAACATAGAACATTACCTATTGTGTAGTAACTGCTCAAAAAATGTAGGACATTGTCTCAATTTTAAATTCCTACTCAACCTTGGGGACACAGAGGCCAAAGAAGGATGAAGGCGTCCACAAAAATTGATCTATGGAAAGAGAAGTTGAAAACAAGAGTCTGTTTTGCTGGCCATCCTCTTCCCCCATCAATCTTATATCCATTGCAGAACCTGTCCCCTGAAACCCAACCACATGGGGGCACTGAGCTGGGTGGTCGAGGCCAGTGATCATTCCACCTGTCCAAACTAGTCTGGTTGTTACCAAACCCCAGGTTAAAACCAGAGAAATAAGCCCACTAAAACATTATAGCTGTAGCCCCACTGAGAGGTTTTCATCTTCAGAATTCAGCATCTGCACTGCAGGGGCTGATGCTAACCTCAGGAAAAAGCAAGCATTGTCTCCAAGTGCAATTAAAAACCTTTAAAACCTTTTCTCATTTTCCCTTTTTACTTAAAAGGAAAAAAAATTACCATCTGTTAATGCAATTGTTAATTAGTAAAGGAGAGTTAGTTTAGCTTCCTAAGAACAGACCCAAGAAGAGGCTGGGTTTCAGGCCCATCACTTCTGTTCCAGGAGTAAGCAGCCATGCCAGGCGGGCATTGTGGTGTGGGCTGGAGCTGCAGTAAGCTGGCAGAGGTCAGAGACACACTTCCCTCCCATGGCTCTAATCTCATAAACCAGAAGTGTTCAAACTCAGTGTGTTCTCTTGCCCTTCTCATTTTTCATAATGGAAAAAAAAAGCACTGGTAAAGTTTTGAATTAAGAAACAGTTGCCATCTGGGTAATTGAATTCAGCTTGAAGCAGGCCACCTGGTTCACATCAGAGGCTCTCGGCAAGTATGGAAGTGTCAGCTCAGGCCCTGCATTGACTGCTAAATATAGGCTAGCATTCCACGAGCAGCAGAGAAACTTTAACTTCAGAATAGTGAAAACCATTTTGTATCAGGTTACCTCAATGTATGCTAGATTTCTTAGGCGGCAGATTTTGAGAATTACAGCAGGAACAGTTGTTCTTGTCCATTCCCAGCCACATACTGCCTTGAAAAAACAAAATCTAAAAAGCCAGTTCCCTTTGGCTTCCTGTTTGGACATTCATGTCACAGAAATATGCATGACTTAAATCACCTTGCTCTCCTAAAGGGTTTAGGAGGCTGAGTATTTCCAGCCTCTACAATATTGAAGAGGGGGAGAAGTTTGGAAGCCAAGTCTAACCCTAGCCTTCTCTGCTACTTTTGACGCTGCCAGTCACTTTGTCCCCCAAAAGGAGGCACACTCATACAGCATAAACCGAGTACAGGGGTTGCAGTCTTGTCCCCCACTTCAGACTCCAGTATATCAAGAGATTAGGAGTCAGGAGCTTTACATGCAACTCACCAGCCAAGGCTGTTGGGGCCAAGTGCAGAGTGATGTCAAGAAGCATTGAGGACAAGACATAGTAAGAGATAGCAGCTCTGAACTTAAGTGGTTTTGAGCAAGTCCTCATGCTTCTCTGAATCAATCAGATTTTCTTTTTCTTTCTTTCTTTCTTTCTTTCTTTCTTTCTTTCTTTCTTTCTTTCTCTCTCTCTCTCTCTTTCTTTCTTTCTTTCTTTCTTTCTTTCTTTCTTTCTTTCTGTGCCTCTGAAGTGAGCATTCTGAGCACATTTCTTACATACCTGAAATGTCTACAACAGAACCACTGAGTGTAGATGTGAGCCTTCATTTGATTTCTGAATTGGGAAGGGGAGCTATGGATTGGGTAGAACTCTTGCTCCAAAGCAATTTGGGTTTTAAGAGAACACTAGGCTTGTGGACTGAATATTCTACACCAGAAATAACCTGGCCCAACCTCCTGTTACAGGATGGAATTGATGGAGGGTGAAGTACTTTCCCCAAGGTAGCTGAGCTGCTGCTTAGGGGACTGCAATACCCAGTCCCTTCCTTTCCGATGCAGCTGTATCTTGTGCTTTAGGACCACTGAAAAAGTCAGCTTTGAAATCAGAAATGTTTTACTTCTAACACACGCCAAAAACGAGGGTTATCAAAAACAGGTCATTTAGAGGACTAGTTCCTTTAAAATAAAATTTTCCAGGGTATGCATAGATGTCCACTTTAAATATCTCATTTCATTTATTTCTCAAGAGAGAACAAACACGCGCACATACATATACTACTGTTTTCAATTTGAGAGAATTCAAGCAAGTGTTTTTTCAAATAAGATTAAGTATCATTTACAAGGTTCAGGGTGAGTTCCCCGGATTCTTTCATATGAAGACTCTTCTCCCTCCACGAATAGCCCTGGGTGCCATATCACACCTGCATGGAGACTCGTCAGATTATTGGGTAACACTATTGGACTCCACTCCGTGACCATAGTGTCCGCAGCAGGAACTCTGGAGAACAGGAGGAGCCAGCAGGAGACTCCTGAAGGGCAGTACCTTGAACAAGACCTGGATGTAGGGTTAGCAGATTCTAGAGAGAGAGTGTGGAATCAGAGGTAGCTAAAGAACCTCGCGTTACCAATATCTACTCCCAGCAGGCTCTGTTATGCTTCTTCATCCTCACGATCTCTTTTCTTAATTCAATAAAGGGCATTTGCTCCAATTTGAAAAGATGGCACAGTATTATTTCATCCACAATATCCTGTCCTCAAGCATTTAGGTTCATGAATTTCCTTCTCAAAACTAATTTCAGTCTAATAGGACTTTTTCAATTTTGGTGTAGAATCACACATTCTAATCCTCTGAATGTTATCCTCTCTTTACTCTCTTCTTTCTTCTTAAATGGGTAGTGTCTTAACTGTCCCTGTTCCTTCTCCCACTCTTGTTTCTCTGTCTGCCACCACAGCCTTGTCATGGCCCCCATTCAGAATAGTCTATTCTCAGATCAGAGGGGACTCTGTCTTCCCACATTGGGATTCATGCTTAGTATGCAGAAAATCAGGTCCTCATGCTTTGGAATAGGGTGGGGGGAGTTCTGAGTCTAGGCCCAGATGCTGGAGAGGAATATGGAGAAGCTGGACAGAACTGTAAGTCCCAAGACCAGAGACAAGGGTTATTGTCTCAGCAGTACAACTTCTCTCTTTCAGTATGAGTATCAGAGATTCCTTTAGTAACTTCATTCAACTTTTAAAAAATGTTCTTCTTACCATAGTCCGCTGATGACAAAAGATTGAATTTTGTGATTTTTTTCCTAGCTGTTGCCCACAGCCTATATGAGTATCATAAAATCAGGTTCCTTTTGGAGGGACTAGGGCATTAGAAAAACATAAAGTACCCAACAATGCTTGAGTCTCACTGTAGTACATTTATGGAAACCACATGGAAAATCCTAAAATTGATCTTACCCGTGGGATCTGTGTTATAATTGGATATTGCATTCTTGACCAAAGACTTGGCATCAGATAAATCACAGATACTAAATATGTCATAGAGGCAAAGATTCACAGTTTAAATCAGTAGTTCTCAAGTTTCACTGAACGTTAGAATTGTCAAAAGAGATTTTTGAAAAGTACTGTGTCTGGGACTCCACTTGGCGCCAGTTAAAGCCAAAACTCTACTAGTGGGCCAGTTTTCTTTGTTTATCAAGGGCAAGAAATAGTTGTCATTTAGTTGTTGTCAATAGTTATCAAAAACTAAGGGGCCCACTTGAAAGTACATTGCAACATTTTTTGATTCTTCCAAATGGAAATTTAGAGACCCTCCACTTAATAAGTCATCCACCTGGCACTAAGATACTGCTTTTTGCATACGCTGTCTACCAAGTCAGAATTTGACCTAGTGTCCTTAGGGTACAATGTCCAAAGGTAAATGATTTGTGAGTTAATCAGTATTTATGAGGCTTCCACAAATACAATAAATTCTTGTTGAGGTGTCTTTGGAAAAGAACAGATACAGTTTTTGTTCTCAAAAAGTATTGAGGAGAGAAGGGCATGGTGATTCTGACGTTAGGTTTCTCCCAATTTAGAGACACAGAAATGTTGCCATTTGCAATAATAGCACATGTGCCTGAAATGATCTCAACTATGTAGATCCAATTATTTGAAAATTGTGGTAACTCTTAGACATATGTCAGCAGTCTTCCCTTTCTTTGACAAAAGGTTTGAAAATTGGCCTGGGAAGAGGAACTCAGGCTCCTTGGGGTAAATGGTAAAAAGAGAAAAGCAGGCATCAGTGGACCCAAGAAGGGATCAGCTTCGTGCATTTCTGCCTAGATACTGTACAAGTAAGTGGATGGGATAACGAGGTTAAGCATACAAAGCCAACAGAGTGGTTTTTCTTTCAGATTCCAGTTCTTTGACCATGAACTATGTGACTATAGACAGGGCATTTTATGATACTTCGGTAATTCCTTTTTAAAATGGAAAGCTAATGTGAATTTCCTACCTATTGCAAAAGACATCTTAAAGATAAATTACTTTATACTGAAAAGATATTTGAGCATTTTGTAAATTCTTTCTGATTTAAGAGTGACATATTGATTAAATCACAAATTTACAGAGAAATTGTTACAACACCTAAGAAAAAATAAAACTCATGAATGTGTGATTGTGAAACACTCTTAATACTGTGGTCATTATTTTAAACATAATGAAACACAAAAGAAGAATATGCTCTATATGTAGTTTTTAATCTTGTTTTTCTATGTATATATAATGAGCCTTCCTGCATATCTTAAAACATCCTTAAAAACACATTTTGCAACTGTATAATATTCAATTTTTAAAAGTATTGTGATTTGTTTATTCATCATGTGGTATACAATATAAATATTTAAAATATATGGAAAAAATTCATAACCCAACAAATTTTCCTTCTATTACTTTCTAACAGTATATTTGGAGATTTTTAAAATATACAGACATCAGTAGGAAACAATTTCAGAAGCACATAAAATGAGATTTAAAAAACAATCAAGAGCAATTTTATTTTTAAAAGGTCAATTCGGTTACAAAGGAAAGAAAGAACATGCAACAATTGCCATAACTTCATTTCCATTGACTTTTGAGTGGTAATTTTATCTTTAACACCCCCTACTGGTTTGCCTTATGGTTTTAGTGTTATCATTTTCTTCTTTTTTTTAAAATGTGATTTCATTAGAAGTCTTTTACCTCTCCAATTCTATTGTCTTTTTTCTGTCCTGGAAAAATAAAGCAAAAGGATCAGGAACAAAGAAAAAAAAAACAATACTTATTACTTCATATAAATCTTTCTTCCTCAACCCCATCCACCATATGTAAAGAACAGAGGCTAAAGAAGCCTAAGAGAATCAGATCTCAAACTTCTTTTTGATAACTGTAACTTCCTACATTACTTATTTATTCAAGACTGTTGCCATGAGTTCCATAATTGTCCAAAGATAAACCAGGAATATGTAGGGATACAAGGGCTCAGGGGTTAGTCAAGAGAGGGACAATGTGAGTTCACCCTCCTTGTAAAACTTCTAGGCAGACTCATTTGGTGTGCTCTTGAGATGACACTTACCTAAAGTCCACTAAAGCACTTTATGGCAAGTTCTAACTTTCATTTTCCCTCCTGTTGCAAAGGTCAGCTGGGGTGCATGTATGCTATAAGGAAACAAAAAAATAGCTAGTGCTTCATCTCTGCTAGATCCAGCCTCCTTGCATCCATCGAAATGGAGTTTCTTAGGTATCTACAATGATCTGGCACTGGCCTAGGTGCATGAATAAGTCCTATCAAGTCCTTCTTCCTACAGAATCTGCAACCTTGTTGGGCTGGGGATGTGGCTCAGTGGTGGAGCTCTTGCTTTGCATGCACAAGGCCCTGGGTTTGATTCCCAACACCACCAAAAAACAAAACAAAAATGCAGTCTTGTGTGATTAAGATAATGATAAGAGGAACAGAAAGCAGGGTAAGATGACAGAATGACTTAAACAGAGAGGGGAATCATTTTGCAAGGACGACTGGGGAAGACTGCTTTGAGGAGATGTCCAGTCACTGATCTTCCGGTTTCAACATGAGTGCTACATACTTGTTCTTGGGATCTTCTCTGGCCTTTTCCTTCTCTGGATCTCACAGCTTAGCCCCACAGTCTTCCCTCTGTCTTTCAGTTGTGAAACCCAGAGAAGGGTTTGCAGGGACTCCTATAGCAGGCGTTAGGGCAGTGATGTGAACCTTTGAGAGCTTTCAGTGATACAAACAACCAGCTGAGCCATGTGTGCCACTGCTCGCCACCGCCACCTTAGGGCATCCCACCTCATAAATTCATACTCACTCTGTCATCCTCTTGCATGCCAGCATAAGATGAAGTTGGAAATAAGGGACATTTCTATTTGTTTCAACTGCAGTAGTTCATCCTTATCTGAGATTTCACTTTCTAAGACTTCAGTTATGTGGCTCTGATCAATTGCAATGTGAAAATATTAAATGGAAAATTCCAGAAATTAAAAAGTCATAAATGTTAAATAACTTTTCTTACTATATATCATAATTGTTTTATTTCATTGTTAGTTATTTTTATTAATCTTATACTATGGCTACTGTATTTTTAAATTGAATGTTATCACAGATATTTACATAGAGGGAAAAAAGTATATATAAGACTTGGTACTATTGAGGTTCAAAGCATACACTAAGGGTCTTAGAAACATATCTCCTTTGGATATATATATATATATATATACTTTTAATATGCATGAAATTTGCATTTTAATATAGCTAACTGGATTGTACTATTTGAGATTCTGCTGAAATTATCTCTTTGCAGAGGAAGAGTTATCTCACCACCCACAGAAGCTTCCTCCTTTACTCAAAAGAACAGATTCTGGGAGAAGATGTTTCTGGGACTGCTCTGGGAAGTCCAGGGCCAGTGATGGTCTTCACAGTCCGGCAGCCTGTCCTCTCAGCCATGACTAATGAAGGTACGTGTTATTTAAGACACAGTTGTCAATTGTCTTTGACATCCTTTGCTGGGATAGGTTCAGTCATAATTTTTAATCACTGGGAGTAGTTGGTTGTAGAATTTATGATTCTTTTCTATCATTATTCTTCTTTAGATTCAAATAGCAGGTATTGGTTCCACATGCCAAATTCTGTGAAAGACAAATCTATTTCCTCATTGAATTTTTGTGACAACCTCTTTAGTCTGTGTTACAAATGATTCAAAGTCAGAGGTAGAGGAAGGCATACACTCAAGTCCCCTGATTCCAGTTCAACAGGGGCCCTCTGATTGTAGCTCTCTCTTTCTGTATGTGTGCACACAGCGTTGAACAATATCATGTGAAAAGTAATGTAAAATGTAATGTGCAGGTAGCACTCAGCAAAGCAAGTAGTCTCCCTGGGGCCACTGGTCACAAATGAACCATAAGAATAAAGACATTGAATGCGTGCATGATGTAGATATTAAATATGTGTTCGGACAAGAGGGTGAATCTCTCAGATTTTTGGCTTCTTCTCTTTATGAAAAGGCCATGGGACCACAAATCAAAAAAATATACTCATTTTCTTTATATATCTTTATATATAATTTACATGAACGACCTAAGTGTCTGTTGTGATGCTAATAAAGAAGACACAGGACATTAATTGCAAAAGAGTTTAGCTTTATTGATCTGTTACAGGAAAAAAGATGGCATTTGCCATAGATTATTTTACATATTTCATTACATTTTCAATCAAAATCACAGTAGGAATTTCTGGAATTATAATAAACTGATCTTAAATTTTTATGGAAGGATAAAAGTTATCAAGTAAGTAGCTCTAAAACGGAAAAACAAAGGGATGGGAGTATTCTACCAGAAAATGAGACATTTGAAAAAGAGTTAAGTTATAAAGTTTAGGTGCAGAATGTGTGAAGAGACCAATGAAGAGAATGGAAAATTACCAAATCAAACTATATGTTTATGAAAAACAAGTACAGGAGAGGAGCAGCTGAACAAGCATGCAGAAAATGAATAAGCTGTTTAGAAATACTTTGGATTCAAGTCTTAGTATATGGAGAAAAATCGTTGTTAAACCAATCATTGTTAAATCCTTTAAAAAACTCAAAATGGATTAACGTTAGACTGAAAGGAAAACTGTAAAGCTAGTAGAAGAAAAGGCAAGAGATATCTGTGGTACCACCTTCGATGGGATCGTGGCTACTTTTCTCACATTGCTGGGATGAAATATCCAACACACAAAATTAAGTAAGGAAAGGCTTATTTAGCTCACAGTTTTTGGAGGTTTGAGTCCATAACCAGCTGACTGCAGGGCACAGTGGCATGGCACTGCGGCAACACTTCAAGGCAGCAGCCAGGGCAAAGTAAAGAAGAGCAAGCCTCTTCTCCTCTCTTGGATTGTACATAGGCCACACACCTCCCTCCAGGGAAAGTGTAGCACTCATAAAACTTCTGTGTCCTCTTCTTGCACAGGATGAGGATATACAAAGTAAGGCTCCTGGCTCCCTGCTGAGCTCTCAGTTAAACTTCTAAATTTCTCAGGTTGACACAATTTATCGACCATAACAGGTGGTAAAGAAAATGTTAAATAAAGCTCCAAACTCAAAATATAAAGAAATCCATCAGTCCATCTCACAATAATCTAAAATGAATTAGGTTCAATGAAGAACATCACAGGCAAAAGTTAACAGTGCCAAGTCACTGGTGACAGGCTAGAAAATATTTGCAATGCCTACAACCTTTCAGATATTAACATTCAGAACACACAAGAAATTAGTGCCAGCCAGCAATTAAAAAAAAAAGAGAGAGAGAAAGAAAAGTAAACAGAAACAGGTGATTAAAACAGTAAAATGGGCATACATAAGCAATTCATACACACATTTGAACAGATAGATCAACCTTGCTGGCAATCACAAAACAAAACAGAGGACTATTAAGAGGTCAGGTACTTCGCCTGCATCAGATGGCAAAGATCATGGAGTCAGACAATACCGGATGCTGTGAATTGCAAGTTGCATCAGTGCCTTCGTACCACTAGTATGATAGCAAACTGCTACAGCTCTTCTGAGGAAGTCTACCAATTTTATATGGAAGTTCTGTATATGTGAAACCTTCTTTTTGGCTACATATGTCAGAGAAATTGGCCATTTAAGTGGAAATTGGAAATTTCTCTTTGTGAACATTTTTTCTGACCCATATAGAGAACAGTGTAAATATGGTAAATTCACAAGTGTGTTCAGAGAAGTGTTTTTCTGGATGAGTATAGAGCTGGAAATATATGTTAGATTGATTTGTGCATTTATTAGAATAATGTGCATCTGGCAGAAATATTAATTAGATTTACATGCAGTATACAACTATCCTTCATATGATAGAGGATTAAAGTAAGAATCAGGTAAGACTTGTAGCACAATATTTATATATTTTAAAACATAGAATATAAATACTTTCTTTTAAAATTTATTTTAATTGGCATATGCTTGTGCTTTGTAATAATTAGATTCATCTTAAGGAACTGATAGATCATATCTTAATCTTAGCCTGCCTTCTCTTCCCTCCTTGCTCACCCTTTCCCAAATCTTCTTCTCATCTCCACAAAGTTTACCTCCTTGTTTCCTATCATGTTTTATTTTGCTCTTTAAAGTATTACTTACACACACTTTCTTGTGCATATACAATTACTAAACAAACATAGGCAAGTTGCACTGGAAGGCTTAAATATATTAAACTTGGTGCTGAGGAAGTTAGGAAAATATGGACTGAGTATCGCAGGTAAAATGGAGAAAATTAAAGACACAGAAGATGCTTCACAAAGTAAGAAAGATATGCCGAAGAACTTGAAGGGGAAGGCTCCGACTGGTTTGGGAAGACTCCTGCACCCCAAAGGAATTTTTGTTCAAGGAGGAAGTAGTATGCGATTGGATTATGGATAATTAAGGTACAAAGTAATTCCTGGGAAAGGTGAAAATAAGTCATCCAGAATTTCAAGAAAATAATTTTGAGTGTGAACTTAAAATGGAAATGTGGTGGAAACCCTCTATATGACATATCTGCATTTCAGTGATTACTGTGTATATTTTCTTTTCCTAAAAATCTCTATATTTTCTTCAATAGAAATCCATTAAAGCTGCTCACTAATATGGAGCAAAGTTGGATGGCAATGCTCACTTGCAATAATTTTCTATGCAGAAAGATATACACTTACCCTGATTATAGAACATGGGTCTTCTAGGTCCTCCTGCCTCAGTCTCCCCAGTGCTGGGATTGCCACCACATCCGGTTTAAGTATTTTAAGAGATAACTAAGAAAGGAATCTCCTGAAAGTATGAATTCATTTTGTTTTAGAAAAGATAGAAGCTGCAACTGTTAAAAAACTAAATCTACCTTCTTGGATAGTTTAACATTCGAAAACGAGTTGCCAGGTAGGTAAAGTGAAATGACAGAATTGAGATAACTATTATTACAGGTAAATGTCTAAACTTGTAAAATAAACTTCAAATGGGAAAACTATTAGCTTCAGCATTTAGGTTCAATGAGATTAATTGGCCAATTAAATATGAGAGAAGCTGGCTTCACAGTAGTTATGGGGAACAAGATCCGGGGTATTGAGTTCAGTGCAGGCTCACTGTCCATCAGTGCAGGTGTAATGTGTCTGCTGGAGAATCAGCCCCACATTCTGGCTGCCTTAGAAGAAGCGCGGAATGCAAGTCACACACGGCACCACTCACGGTGCTTTATGCTGGCCACGTCATCTGATGAGTCTGCCCAGTGATAGATGTCAAGATCTTAAAAGCAATTTTGTTTGTTGTAAATATAATGCTTGTTAAAAATGGCATACAAATGGTCAATAAGCACAAGATGTCCACATTATCAATCCTTAGAAAATGCAAATCACAACTATAATTAAATACCACTCCCCACCCACTATAGTAACTGTAATAAAAAAGAACAATAAAAAATATTGTTAGGAATGTGGAGAAATGGAAAAACTGATTCATTACTGGCTGAAATGTAAAATGGTGCAGCTCCTTTGAAAAAACAGTTTGGCATTTCTTAAAAAAGGTAACACAGATTTCCCATATCACTATTGAGTTGTAGTCTTAAAACTAGATTGTAATGAGACTGGTGCTGTTCTGCCCATATTCTAGCATTCACTAAAGTCTACACCTGAGTAAATGCTATAGCATATACTTTGTATGTCAATAAAACCTTTAGGGGGGATGCCAAAATATAATGCATATTCATCACAAAAATTCAACTCTAAGTTAGGAGAAAAAAACAAAAACAGTTAAAGAAACAAAAACAAAAATTCCCCAAGCCCTATAACCCAGCAATAACTATGGTTAACCATTAGGAAATAGCATTCTAGGTATCTCTTTTGTGTTCATCATCAAGCAGAAGGAGAAAGAGACAGCTGAAGATAAATTTGCAGAGCAGCATCATATCATATGACCTACATTTTCTATTAAATTATTAAATCAGATTTTGCTTGAATTTAATGGATTAGGTGTCATATTTTTATGAGGTGATTAAGAAAGGAGTCTTCCAACTCAGACTATTTTGGTTCATTTTCTGCTACTTGCTTACTAAAAGACCCTGGCAAATTCTTTGTTTGTTTGTTTGGTTTTTTTTTTTGGTACCGGGGATTGAACTCATGACCTTGTGCTTGCCAGGCAGGCACTTAAACTGTTGAGCTAAATCCCTGGCCCGACCCTGGCAAATTCTTAACCTCTCTGCTTCTTGGTCTCCTCAATTCTGCAGATAATAATAAATAATATCTCTCCCTCAGGTTTGATGTAAGTATTAGTGAAATAATTCATGTAAAAAAGTTAACAAAGTGCTTCACACAGAGAAAACATGCAATATGCATTGCTGGTTTACAGTGATCATTATTCCATCTTTAAGACATGCAAGAAGGAAACCCAGAACAATAGGAAAATTTAAAACCACTTCATTCAAAGAATAGTCAACAGTCATTAGAA